ATACTGTTATCTTTGTATTTTTTAGCAGGAATAAAATCCTCCCACGAAAATAAATAGTTAATTAAAATGTAGTTTTATACAATATGCATTTGTATAGATTAAAAAAACGATGCAAAAATAATTGGTCATTGGGGAAATAATAATCTATTCTTCAGTATTCTCGTTAGTAATTAGGCCTACAGTCATATAAACTAATAATATTTTAGTAAAAAAAAAATTTAAATAACAAGTATTATAATATTTTATATAACATGCATACATGCATCTATATATAAATATATAATATTTATGTCTTTTGTATGTACAAAGTATCACGAACAAAAAAAAAAAAGGAAAAATAAAATAAACAGTATTAAATTGACATTATCTTTACAACGTGGAAGTTTATTGCTATAGGATTGTAGTAAATTTTAATTGATGGTGTTCCTATATCGAAGTTAGTTACCTACCGCTTCTTTTTTACGTAAATCAAGTTTAAATAAAATAAATTTATTGATAATAAACTACCAAATACGTGTTAACAATTAATGTACTGACTTAAAGATAATATTCTAAATCACATAATTTATTTACAGTGTAAATATTATATTCATTATTTTCATTTGAATTTCCCGAAGTATAATTTTAGGTTTATTTACACTTATGTTCAAATATTTTATACTTAATAAACCACTATTTTTATAATTTCTCAATTGTTTCTATGTAGCATCAATATTCAAGATAAAATGCCGAAAAGTTTTAATTACATTTTATTTTGCTTGGTCTTTACGGAACTTCATTAGAATTTTTTTTTCAAGTTTGATGACTTATTTCTACGTTGGAAAAAAAACATGTTAAAATTGTATTCTTACATATATACCATACCTGTTGGTTGTGTCAATTAAAACTATATTATGATAATGTAGCAAATTTACCATTAATCTAATGATTATTAATTTAATTGTTTTAATCATAATAAAACACTTAGTCTAATATATTTAGTATCTAAATGTCTTGTCATATTACTATCGTGTTCATTAAAAATGTTGAACAAAATTTGTATTTTATGTATGATGTTTTACATTTCTATTCATCAAACTAAAATGCCTCCGTCGTTCGGATTGAAAATTATTTATAATTATTTTGATTCTTTAAAATGTCATCTATGTAAATTTGTATTCTTGTTTTAAGTTAAATAATAAAATATTATTTTTCACTTAAATTAAAATTTTTTTATAAGCATTGCAT